CACTTCTACTCAAGTGCCACCTTCTTTTTAGGTACTGATCAATCAGGAACAGGCATCAAAACCCCAGGAACAAACCAAGATCAAAAAATTCCATGATATCCAATTGCAGGAACCTACAGACAGGCGAATATCCAGATATTCAGCTAAAAACCGTGATATTCCCACACCTGGAAATCTCGCGTTTTTTGCCTTTTGTAGTGATTACGGAGAACGGTGTCTGGCCACCCTCCATTGATAAAAAACAGTATAAAACATCAAAATTGATCCTCCTCTGATAAAACATTAAACATGATTAAATACATCACATAAAATAATATCACATATTACACAAAGACATAGCCATTGTCCTTAAACTGTCCTGGGTCATTGCACTTTCAACTTTAACTTTAAATATTCTTATGATGGGCTGAACGCTTGGTTCCACAGCCAGGTCTTTAGCTATCTCCTAAAGATCAGGAGGGAGTGGGCTGACCTGATCTCACTCGGGAGGGAGTTACACAGCCATTATGTTCTTGTAAGAGGAGGATGACATACAAAGAGCTCTGCGTCTTTAAGAGTTTACACAGGAGAAGAAAAATATCACCAATGGGAACTGGGTTATTCACTGTGTCGAAAAATGCTAGAGTTAGCTGTTTTCCTTCTACCCTGTTTCCCTGAAAATAAGGCCTATCCCAAAAATAAGGCCTAGCATGATTTTTGAGGATGCTCCAAATATTTATTTATTTATTTATTTATTTATTTATTTATTTGCTATATTTGTACCTCACCCTCATTTACCCCGACAGGGGCACTCAGGGAGGCTTACAATGACACAACGTTGTGCCTCAACACAAGGACATGGAGTGACACCTGCATGAATGAGTGGTTCCCATATGTAGTATATGTTACCCATTATCTCCTCTCTGAAAGAGCAGATGTCTAGTCTGGGGATGCTCCTAGCTCCATCTTCAGTATCTAGGAGGACCTTTGAGCTGGTGTATCAGTTGTTGCCATTGCTGGACTGTCATATCTTCTATAGCAGTCCAGCCACTGGTAACCCAAGGACAGGATTGTTGCAATCTATTCTATTGTGATGCTTCCATTGGTATCCATGTGGAATTATCAGTTACTTGTGATTGAAATATTTTTCTCAGCAGCACATAATATATCTCCTAAAAAAACTCTACTGGATTTCAGTATGCCAAGTTTAAGATTTTTATGGATAAGCCCTAAACAACTTGGAATATAGTTATCTCAAAGACTGTCTGATCCTTTTTACACTTGGCTGGTCACTACAGATTTGGTTATGTACTTGTTTCATCAAACAACCCAGAGCTGTTCCATGGTTTTTCCTATTAGCCACCTGCAGGACCTTGGCTCTCAGTAGTTATATTCCTCTCTAGCACATCCATGTTCCAACCACCAGTAGTAAGTTTTTGTCATAAACTGTAAACATGTTATCAGCATACATTCAACGAGGAACCAACACGTATAACCTGGCAACATCATCCTGTTGTTCCCTGGCACAAGTACACCTTGAGACGTGTCTGCACCCAACAAGGTCTGAGCAATTATAGTAATGATGACATTCTGTTCCTGATTTGAAAGCTTCTGTTCCTGTTTCATTGTGTACTAATTACTGTGAAAGTACTTGTTGCACCCCAGGAACTTCATTTTCCTACCACAAACTTCATTAAATAGGTGAAGGATGAAGTTCCTCTTCACTTCTACTCAAGTGCCACCTTCTTTTTAGGTACTGATCAATCAGGAACAGGCATCAAAACCCCAGGAACAAACCAAGATCAAAAAATTCCATGATATCCAATTGCAGGAACCTACAGACAGGCGAATATCCAGATATTCAGCTAAAAACCGTGATATTCCCACACCTGGAAATCTCGCGTTTTTTGCCTTTTGTAGTGATTACGGAGAACGGTGTCTGGCCACCCTCCATTGATAAAAAACAGTATAAAACATCAAAATTGATCCTCCTCTGATAAAACATTAAACATGATTAAATACATCACATAAAATAATATCACATATTACACAAAGACATAGCCATTGTCCTTAAACTGTCCTGGGTCATTGCACTTTCAACTTTAACTTTAAATATTCTTATGATGGGCTGAACGCTTGGTTCCACAGCCAGGTCTTTAGCTATCTCCTAAAGATCAGGAGGGAGTGGGCTGACCTGATCTCACTCGGGAGGGAGTTACACAGCCATTATGTTCTTGTAAGAGGAGGATGACATACAAAGAGCTCTGCGTCTTTAAGAGTTTACACAGGAGAAGAAAAATATCACCAATGGGAACTGGGTTATTCACTGTGTCGAAAAATGCTAGAGTTAGCTGTTTTCCTTCTACCCTGTTTCCCTGAAAATAAGGCCTATCCCAAAAATAAGGCCTAGCATGATTTTTGAGGATGCTCCAAATATTTATTTATTTATTTATTTATTTATTTATTTGCTATATTTGTACCTCACCCTCATTTACCCCGACAGGGGCACTCAGGGAGGCTTACAATGACACAACGTTGTGCCTCAACACAAGGACATGGAGTGACACCTGCATGAATGAGTGGTTCCCATATGTAGTATATGTTACCCATTATCTCCTCTCTGAAAGAGCAGATGTCTAGTCTGGGGATGCTCCTAGCTCCATCTTCAGTATCTAGGAGGACCTTTGAGCTGGTGTATCAGTTGTTGCCATTGCTGGACTGTCATATCTTCTATAGCAGTCCAGCCACTGGTAACCCAAGGACAGGATTGTTGCAATCTATTCTATTGTGATGCTTCCATTGGTATCCATGTGGAATTATCAGTTACTTGTGATTGAAATATTTTTCTCAGCAGCACATAATATATCTCCTAAAAAAACTCTACTGGATTTCAGTATGCCAAGTTTAAGATTTTTATGGATAAGCCCTAAACAACTTGGAATATAGTTATCTCAAAGACTGTCTGATCCTTTTTACACTTGGCTGGTCACTACAGACCTCAGAATAAATCTTTGTGGCACCAGATTGTGGTACCACATGGCCAGAGGCAACAGAAACGTATGGCTCCCAGAAGACAAAACACTGAGCTTATCCTGTGTGGCCTTCTCTCCCTATTAATGAACAGGTGGGGACCTGACATTTTGAATTAGTGCCCTTCCACATAGTCATATAACCCAGAATATCAAAGCAGATAATCCACAATATCTGTTTTGAACTGGGTTATGTTGTGTACTCCAGAAAATGTAGGAGTTAGGGATTGAAGAGGAAGAAGAGGGCGAGGAAAGCATACTGCCTGTTCCTACCTTTCAGGAATGCCAAAGGGGAAAAGAAGAAAGGAGGAAGTCAGCTAGAATTGCTTCAAGGATGATGAGCTATCAGACCCCGCCCTAGGAACACCTGTGCCGGTAGCTGAGGGCTATAAAGGAAGGAGTCAATGCTGGCAGTAACTATTCTACTCAGTGCTTCGGTTTCCTTGTTTGCAGCTGCAGCAAGTGCCTCGCAACGACTATTTGTCAAAGACTCTGGATTCATATCTGACGTAAGCCTTTTGAGATTTTCCTTTTGTTCATTTGCTGCTGTTTATGTATCATGTTGCTGAAGTAAAGCTTTTTTAGTTGCTTTAACCAATGTTGTAAGGTTTTTTTCTGGGACAAAACAGGACAGGTTATCCAAGTTCATGCTGCCATATAATCCAGTTCAACGTGGAGTTTATAGAGTTTTGTGGAAGGGGCCAAAGACAGCTCCTTAAGATGTACCTTGTTCTATGTTCAGTGTTATATAAATCTATATAGTTAATCAATCTTCTCTTATGTCAGATGAAACATTAGAAATTATAAGAATCTGCCCACTAGGTATGCAAACTTTTTAATTAGCTCCTATGTCTTAGAGCTACACTGTGGGTACATCTGCACTGTGAAATGCAGTTTGATGCCACTTTAACTGCCAAAGCTCAATGCAATGGGAGCCTGGGAGCTGTAGTTTGGTGAGGCACCAGGAATCTTTAGCAGAGAAGGCTAAAGACCTTGCAAAACTACTATTCCTATTATTTCATAGCAATGAACCATAGTAGTTAAAGTGGTCTCAAACTGCATGATTTTATAGTGTAGATGTACCATGAGAATTCCAGGCATTGGTTGCTGATTTTTTTAATTTTTCATACCACTTGCCAATTTTTGCTGTTGTTAAAACCCTTTAGGGATTATAGAAAAGCTGTTTTACATTGGGTTAAACTAGTTCACCATTCAGTCCAGAATGTGTCTCTTCTGACAGGCAGGAGCTATCCAGAGTCTTGAACACATGGGTGTTTCCTTTCAACTGTTCCTTTTTACCTGGTTATTCAGGCAATGAAGCACCTAGAACCTTTCACTCTTGCCAATGAGTTTAAGTCATTCCTCTTTTTTTAAAAAAAATCTTTAACTGACACTGAATAAGACACTAATGAAAGGCAATGCAAATGCTTTGGCAAACAGGGGAGATGATAGGATATGTTAAGGAAATTGTTCCATCCCACCTCGTTGTGACAGACTTTGGAAAAGTTATTTTCCCAAGCTCTGGGTAATGAGAAGTTTGTGAAGTGAGAAAAGTTCCAGATTGAGCTTCCTATATGGATCAAACTTCATATTCTGACTTTTAGGGCTAACATTAGCAGAATCTGATTTTGATGATGGTTCAACATATTCAGCAGCTTCATAGATCTTACTGTGCATAGCAAAAAGCTGAAACGTGACCATTCATATGTTTCATTTCCTATTCCAGTTTCAGCTTCTAAAACTCTGCCCCTTTTTTTCTTCTCGTCATTAATGTACGTTCTTTTCAGAAGGGAGGGGATTTTTTTTTCAAAAAAATTCAGTGCTCCAGTTTCAAAATGCAAAGGTATGATGTTATTTCTCACCATGCCCAAAAAAGTCCTTACTCAGTAACTTTGCCAGAAGAGGGAGAGAGAGAGAAAGAGAGGGAGAGAAGGCAAATGTTCTCCCAGCTGTTTCCTGTCTACAGTGTCTGTAATGTAGATAAATGTGAGGATTTTCTCTAAATCCCTCTTCTGTTTGCTAAATCTCACTGTCACTGCTAAAATCAGAGCAGATCGAGCCTGCGCAATGGAATAAATGTCCTCAATATTGAAATGTAAATTGCTCTCAACATCTCACCTCTCTTTGGATTTCTTTTTTTTTCTTTTTTCCCCCTTCATTCTTTCTGCTAACCAATTCATTTCCAGAGTTTGCACTTAAGAAGCAATGGGAAAAATCAACAGTCTTTCAACACAATTATTTAAGTGCTGCTTTTGTGATATCTTGAAGGTAAATCTTTCTTCCTATTTGATTTCTCTTTTTTTAGAAAAATAATGAGAATAATAATTTTATTGTGTGTGATTTGATTCTGGCATGGAAACAATTGGTCTTTTTTTCAGTAGCATTATTTATGTGTTAGGAAATTATTTCTAAACTGCTGAACAGACAGTTTTAATAGAGCTGAGGAGATTTGACTGCTTGTGGTGTTGTGCACAGCTCAGTGACTATCAAGGTAAATGTATTGCAGGTATTTAAGAGTGCAGCTTGGGTTGGAGAAACTTTTTGCAAAATTCTGGCTCTGTCAGATATTTGAAATTTCCACTGACATCATTTTCTGTAGCCAAGACTGCTGAGCATGGAACAAGAAGTCTAGCATTTTTCTGCAGGTGCTAATGTTAACATTGTGATAGCCATTAGACACCAGGTAGCTGCTTCATTTCTCTAAGGGTATTATATGCACAGAAGGAAGGTTGAGGACTACAACATGTAGTTCTTGTGGCAGCTGTTTGCTGGCACTATTGCACTTACTTTCTTTCTTGGTACTGTCGTCTTGCTAAAAGCCAAAATGAAGTTTTGTTTTTCCTCTTCTAAAACAGCTCTTGCTGGTCGTGCAGTTTCCTAAGTTTAAGCAACTCTGCATTAAGGGAAATGAATCTATCTTGTTCATTTAGCCCTTTACAAAGAGATTTTTGACAAGCAAAGTCTGAGATAAATTTGTTTCTTATACTGCTGTCTCTTGTTCTTTAGGAACATAAAAACTCTTTTGAAGGTAGATTTGGCTTCAGCAAATGCACTGACCCTTATTCTGACAGCTGGCTTTCACTCAAGTTTCCATTCTCAGCAAAATTATATCCTTCAAGAGCAAAGTTTTGTTTTGTTTTTCCATGTGTAGGCAGAGACGTGTGCAGCTGATATCGACTCCAATACAGTAGATGCCAGTTTAGTTTAACTGTGCTTCTTTTTAAACACAAGTAGGATTCATTCATTTTATTTTGTGGCAGGGGATGATTTTTGGATTATGCATTATTATAGAGGAAAACAGTGTCATATAAATCCTTGTGAAGTCTATTGCTTCTGAATGATTACAGTAGCAACTGCAAAACTATGGACATTATCTTGTGGTCAGTTCATTGGAAAAAGGAAAATGTAAGTGAACTAACAAGTATTTTTAATTTAAGTTCATCAACATAGAGTTGCAACTGATGTCAATTAGTGGTTTACTGGATTTATCTGAGATATCCTTTTATAACTTTTGACAGGTTCCCTGTGAATAATGAACATGGCTCAAGCAGGTTAACTGAAAACTGTCTTCTTAAGTTCAGAAGGGCTGACAGTGAAATGTTGTGTGTTTTTCTTCAAAAGTCCTTCTGAATTTGATGGGATTTATTCCCAAATGCATAGGATTACAGTTTTAACTCCCAATGGGTATACTTATCTGTAGCTTTAGCCCTGTATGAATAATGGAAATGGAAAGGCAACTTTAAAAAAGTTATCAGAAATAGTATGAGAGCTTTCCACAGCATCCTTTTGACTCATGCCTTCTGCATTGATTCTGTTTATCCCTTTTCTATATGAACTTGAAGCAATTAACAACTTAGTGTGGCTTGTGAATGTAATTTGTGCCTAGAGCTTATTGTTGAAATCTTCTTTCATTTGCCTTTGACTCAATCTGCTGAACATATTTATATATTAATTACTAGTAGGAATGACAACCAACTTATCTATTTCCTTAGCATAGGTTCATGCTTGGATCCTAGAGTTCCATAGGCAACCAAGTAATATAACAAGAAACATATTGTTTTTAATATATGACATATCTATTGTCATCACTGTGACTCTGTGAAGCTGTTCCAGAAGATTATAATAAGCATCATCCGTTTTAGATGGCCACAGAGAGGCGTTTACCCGAATTCCGCTTGAGCGTTCAGATGCGCTGCTTGATTTAAAGCTTGTTGAAGGGGAGGAGTTGGGGGAGGACAAGGAAGGCGTAAAAGCCATGGAGCAAGCCATCTGTTGGCTTCCTTAAGAGCCACTGTTTTGGACTGCTGCTGTCCAAGCGCAATAGACACCAGATCTTTCCTTGCAGTAGAGACTGGTGGAAATCCCAGCTGTGAAATATAGTTGGCCATTCATTATTGGGGTGTTTAGTCAGCCTTGCACTGTCCAGACTCAGAGTCCAAATTTAATCAGCTGCTTTGATAAAACTCCACCCACCTGCTTGGGCACACTTTTAAAGGCTTCTGTGTTCTGATCATTGTGGACACAAAATAAACTGGACACACCTAGACCAGTTGAAAAGCCCCACAGCCAAAGTGTTAATCAACGTAAGTATTTTTTTTGAATCCAAATATCCCATTGACGGAGGACTATACGGGTATGGAAGAAGAGCCCATTTCTACAAGGGCAATGTAGGTTTTTTCAGATTGAGTTAATAGGTCCATGCGGCTGAGGAATAATGAATCCATTTTTTGCTCCAAATTTTGGAAGCACTTGTTTGTTTTATCATGAAGGGAGGGGTTGAAACTCCTGGCAATTCCATTGTGTCATGCATTTAGCACTCACCGCGTTGCAAAAAACGTGGAGACCTTGTCTTTTGTCCCAGAACTGATATTTCTCTTACAATATATTTTTGCTCCATAACGAAAAAAATAATTATAACATTGTTAAATGAGCTTTTTGCTTGATGCAAAGGCAAATGTGATCCAAGAACACCCTGTGAAATACATAGTGTTCTTCAATAGTTATACAGTGTCATTCCATTGAGACTGTGATAGAAGAACTCCATGAACTGCATCCTTGGAAGCAAGAACATGAAATCAGCAGGTGATTTTCCCCCACTCAATCGCTTGGGGTATTATAAAGAAGTGGAAATGTGATATTATTAAGTCTGGATGCTTCAGAGCATGAAAAATTAAACATAGGGTTTTTCTATCAGCTACTGAAGTCATGTTCATACACTATGAGAATTTTTTCCCTTGGATTTTTTTAACGGCATGGTTGGAGAATGAGTCATGTTGCAGATGAAAATGTTTCCTCTTCAGTCACTCCTTGATGTATCTCTTTTGGCTTTTGTGTTCAATATTTTCATATAGATGATGTCATCATGATGAATAACGATGTTGATTTCAGCCTCTATGTTGCCATCTTCTGTTTTCATACTGGCTAGCAATTAAGCCATCTGTCACACACATAGACATTTGCAATAGAAGGGCTTACATACTGTTTTTAGAAGGAAAGGAAATATGTCCCCATGTCCCCAATCTATCTTTGTTTTGTGTGTTCATAGAATGTCCTGTCAATGGGATCCTTGCCTATGAGAGATTGCCTGTCATTGTCTTGGTAGATTTTGCACTTGCAGCAATAATGAACATGAGCTACTGCTAATCAGATATGCAAATGGCAGCCATGGAGAGGATGTACTTGAGGAGAGCATAGAATGAATGGATTTCATTAAGAAACTAGCCTTCCCTTATCTATATAGCCATACCCCAGACTTGTACTACATTCTACTCTTAATTGGAAGATGACAGAGTGTTGATGAGTGGGCCTTAAAACTGAGAGATGTTGTATCTATCTAATCTGTAAGTAGACAGCTGCTTCATATATAGTATAATAATTGCTCAGCTGCTAAGTTGCCATAAATGTATACTGAAGCAGGTCTAATAAGAAACAAAAGCAATATATAGCCATAGTTTATTGGAAGTCTAAGATTTGCAAAAGTACCAAAAAAGTTTTCAGCAGTGTCAGTTTGTGTGTGCAAAAGGAATAGACACTTGTTGGGAGACTAAATAGTAGGGAAGACATTATAGAGGAGTTAATAAACCTCTCAATGCTGCAGTGTTTTGTGGCAGAGCTGACATGTGTACAGTGGCTCACCTAACAGGTGTTGAGATGTTCCCAGTTGTTCTTGAAGGCAAAGGAAGTGCTTTTGAACTTCTAGTGGCTTGATCGTGCTTGTGTTTGCAATTTCCGTTTGGCCCTTTCAACATTCTGCGAGGAATGTCATTAAATTATCGCTGATGTCCAGGAGAGATCAGGACGCTGCAGCCGCTTCTCCACTAACACAAAGCAGCTGCTAATCCTAATTTAAACAGCATTTATACAGGGTTTAGAGCTGCTTTGGTATCTGGACCACACCCAATCCATGTGGTCTTCCCCTTCACAGATGAAGCTTATTATTAATTTAAACCCTCTGAAAACTGACAACTACAGTTTTGTTTGGATTTATCTGTGACATGCCAGGAATGATAGACACTAGGGCTGGGCGGTTTCGTTTCGTTAATTCGTAATTCGTTAATAATTCGTTAATTTTTCAATTACAAAACGATAACGAACCATTCTGGAGCAATTATTAAAAAAAACGAATTTTCAAAAACGTTTTGTAAATGCTTCGTATTTCGATATTGTATTCGTTTCGTTATTGTTTTGAGGTCGTTTCGTTATTATTTCCGCATGTCGGGGCCAGTTTTATGGTTTAATTAGTGAAAAAAATTATAATATCACACCAACAGTCAACAACAGAGGGAGAGGGAAGCTTCAGAAGGTTTTGGAGGTTTTTTAGCGTATTTCGCGGTCGCGTCCGCCATTAACGAATCGATTCGTTATTGTTTCGGAAATCGATTCGTTAATTTTTTACCATTTACGAAATTTCGTAAATATCGAACTTTTTAAAAGGAAAATTTTGTAATTATTTTAAATATCGAAACAAACCCCCCCCCCCCAAATACAAATCGATTTTAGAAACAAATTTTTCCGTTGTTACCCAGGCCTAATAGACACATACCAACCTTTCCCAAACAGATATCCTCAAGATGTATAGGACCACAAGTCCCACCAATGCAGGTCAGAGTTTTGATGTTTTTACTAATGAAACGAAAGAGGTCTTGGAAATAGGGGAAAGTGTCAGGTGCAAATATTTACAGTATAGTGGCGACAGTAATGGTGCTACGGTCAAAGGCACTTGGTATGGTTTCCTCCCAATAATGCTACAAACTGCAAGATTTTTCTACACAGAAAAACACATGAGGGGTCTTTTGCACACAAAAATGCATTTTTACCACTTGGGTCTCTTCCAAGCAAGATCTGACTCAATTCAGGCTGATGGCACACTCTTAATATCATTTTCTGTGCTGGATAGGGAGCTGGTGATCTGGAAATGGAAGAACGGTCTGTAGTTCCATTCTCAATGACAGGTCACTACTTGGTGGGATTTAGACTTAGTGCAGTGGTTCCCAACCTGTGGGTCCCCAGGTATTTTGGCCTACAACTCCCAGAAATCCCAGCCAGTTTATCAGCTGTAAAGATTTCTGGGAGTTGAAAGCCAAAACATCTGGGGACCCACAGGTTGAGAACCACTGACTTCGCGAGATTCTGAGCCACTGCAGGTATGGAGGCCTGATTAAATATGACTGCCCCAAGAGGCTTGTGAATATGGATGACTTCCTGGTTCCTCATGCTAACAGATGCATGACACCTGCAAAGAGCTGGCTAGTGGAGATATGTTGAGTGATCAGGGGTCTTTTACACCATAGCCCACACTAAAAGGAAAATCCAAGCTGACTTGCCCTTTGTAGATAAAATCGCTGAAATCTGCTGTGATTTTGATGCTATTAATACAGATCTTGTGGGTGTAGCTTTGGCTTGTGACTGTCCAGTGGCAATTGATGCTTTCTCATTTGTTCAACTTGAAAACGTGGGCAGGATTCTTGGAGCAGTGAGTACTGAACCCATTTCTCGACTGCTACACATTTTTTCTTCAGAAATGAAACTGAAAGCAAAATTAAATACTGTAAATGAAAACAATGGACTCTTCCAAATTGGCTTAAAGAAGCATACATTGGCATAATATAACTTGACTAGTGTTACCAGGACTTTCAGCTCCTGTTGCATCTATATCCGCTCATTCATTCTTTTATGTATTGGTTTGTAGTGATTTCTTAGATCAGCACTAGTACTTTTCTAAAAGATGTTTAGACTGGAGGCATTATTTGATGGCCATTTAAAGGGTAACTTTTCTCCTTTTTTTTCTTTATATATACATTTTAAAAGGAGTTTTACAGCCTCATCACATGAGGTTAATTAAGTGTCCTGGGATGCTTCAAGGACACTTCCTCCTCACCGTACACCAGACATCATCACACAATGTATCACAACTTCCAGTAAAACCCATGGATGAAGCATCCTGATTGCATTGTAGAAGGCTTCCCTTAGAACACAGAAGGCTTCTTGTGTTCCATGGGAAACCATGGGACCATGCTGCATGACAACACTTCCCCACATGGTATGGGGAAGCATTAGCTTTGGGCACAGTGAGGCGTGGGGCACCAGAATTGCCCTGCTGCCCTGCTGATTCATCATGGGTGGTGGCAAATTCCATGTGATGAGGTCCCTGGTGCAGTAACCCAAGGTATCATTTTATTTATTCATTATACACACTGATGCAATTTAAAACACACACACAAAAGAATAAGAAAGAGAGAGAGAGACCCCCTTCCCCCAAATATCCCTTGGAATTAAAAAGAAACATGCTTAATACTATCCACATCTTATTTTGGGCCTTGACCAAGAGAGAAAAGTAGGATATAAATAAATAAACATGGTATTCCTGGAGCAGTAATTATTGATTTTATATTTTATGTATATATTTTTAATTAGCTGGAATTGTGAAGTCATGTTTTAAAAATAATTTTAAGAAATTATGGGGCAGCAGAAGTGTGGGAGCATGGAGTTACAAGGTTATGCAGGAATCATGGATTGGCAAATTAGCATAAGTGCAATAGGGAAGGTGCTTTTCCCAATATGCTGCCGCTATCAGGGATTGCATGGCTGCTATGGGGTGATGTTTTCATGTGAAAAGTCCCTAGAGTGTTGTATTTATAGTCTTCTGCTAAAAGTGCTGTCAAGACGCAGTGCTCAGTTTGAAGGATGTCCAGTCCAACCCTAACTTTAAAGATGAAGAACTATCATAAAGAAGAGAAGAGGATGGAAGGTGTTCACCAGCAATGAGATTGTGAACTGGACACTTCAGGAGTTATATTATAATTCTATTCAAACTATAGCATTTCTTCCTACATTTTCATTCAAATGTTTAAACCAGGATTTATACAATCCTGTGACCTCTTTTACTTTCTCAAGGGCATTACTTGCTTTGGCCTAAAGCTCCCAGAATCCCCTGGCCAGCATGACCAGTGGAGGAGATATAATGAATCTAAATTGGTTATGCATATCCTGTTGGGGGTGGTAGTTAGCATGGCTGATGTCCTACTTTGAGTTTTGGACTGGAATTCCAAGAAACCAGGGTTCAAATCCCTACTTTGTTGTGGAAACCCACTGTGTGATCATGGGAAATTCATGCTCTCCCAATTTTAGAAGCAGGTGGTGGCAAACCTTGTTTGAGTAAATCCCACCAAGAAAGCCCTAAGGTGGGTTCACCATAACTTGAAGTTCACTTGAAGGTACCTGATTCTAACTATTACTGGGGATGCTAGATATATAAATGGCTAAACTAGCAAGTTCTGCTTTAGGATTCAACTGAAAGATGTTGATGTGGTCTTTTTTGCTTTCCCGACAGGTAAAGATGCTCACTGTGTCCTATGTTCATCTCTTCTACTTTGGCCTGTGCGTTCTCACTTTGACCAGTTCGCCTGCTGCTGCTGGCTCAGAGACACTTTGTGGTGCTGAATTGGTAGATGCTCTTCAGTTTGTCTGCGGAGAAAGAGGCTTCTATTTTAGTAAGTTTGAACATCCCTTTTTCTCTCTTTCTCATTTATAAATCCTGGCGTTGTTATCTCACAGACTTGAAGAGAGGAGGTAAATGCAGCTCTCAGCACGTATAATTAAAACCATACAACAAAACATAACAAACAGAATGGTTTAATGTTTGTAATCCAAAGCTTAGGATAAAACACATAATTTTCCTAGTTGCTGTATTTGTGGTGTATTATTAAATCACTTGAATGTTAGTGCTATGCTAAGGAAATCAAAGTCAAAGCTATGGTCTTGAATTACTAGTTCAAAATTAAGTAACACAGACCAAGGCTTGGAAACCCTAACTTTGGTGTGAAGGACAAAACATTAATACTTTTGTTTGCTTTTTTGAAGAGTGATGAAAGTTTGTTGGACAAAATGTATGCATTGGAGAAGCTACAGTAGTGTCGTTTATGTGTATCAGGAACAATAATAACTTTTGTGCTCGTTTTGATGTTCTGTACATATTAAATGAAGGGGAAATAATGGGAACGGCTGTTATCACCTAGAGCTGTACAATACGTCTCCCCTCTTAACAGCCTTTTGAAATTCCATTCACTAACATGATTAACTTGTTTCATTTTTAGTTCACTAATTTGCTTTCTCCATTACTTGAGGTCATGTTCATTTTGATACTTGTCATTTTTATTCTTTCTTTCCTTCTTCCTCCTTTAAAAAAATTCTACCACTGGTATCGCCAACAGTGCTGAATTTGGTAGCCACTCCTGGCCATCTTTATTCTTCCTAGAATCCCCTGTCTATTGCATAATTTATCCTGGAGGTGGAAATTAGGAAAGTAACCCCAAAGTAGAGGCTGCTATCTTTACTTCCTAGGAATGTCCAGGACATTTGGGAGGAAAATGACAGTGTCAAGAGCAGCTACTAATCTCACCATGGCTGCTATCAGAATAAGTTGACCTCCCAGCTCTTCTTGTGTGCCTTCAAACTATTTCCAATTAGCAACCCAACATGGGGTGTTTTGGAACTAAGAGAATATGGCTCATGCAAGATTACCTGGTGAATTACCATCACAGAACGAGGAACTGAACTCTGGTCTTCAGAGTCACAGTCCAACACTCAAATCACCATACCTTCAGAGTCATGGTCCAACACTCAAATCACCATACCTTCCTTAGTCTCTAACATGTTTCAAATAGATAATCCATTTGTTCCTCTTTGAATTTGTTTCAGAACAGATTGAAAACTGAACAACTGAAATGTTTCATTTGTTATTTGTCTCCCACTTATTTTAATTGATTAATTCCTTTAAAACATTTCTGTACTGCCCTTCATCTTATTCAGGATTTTTCGGTGGCATATGATCACTTTAAGCCAATACAATTTTGGGATTGAAAGCTTATAAGAGCCTCTGTTTATTTACAGAGGAAGTCCGGCATGAGCGGTGGCAATGAAAGCTTCTTCACACCACTCTCCCAAAGGGTTTCAACCATGACCCAGAGAGATCTTCTTGAGGGGGTGAAAAGGCAGTTCATTCCATATGCCAATTCTGTCCTTGCAAGCTTCTGCCAATGATGCCAACAAGTGCACTCATTAAATTAGCAGGTTTTTTTTTCTTAAGGGGACACAAATCCCTTGGCTACAAGACTGAATCCTGCAGTTAAGGGTGTATCATCAGCTATAAAATTAATGTTCTGTGAAAGATTAGGTCTGCTTCAGTAGGAGATTTCCAATGAAAACAAGACACTCAGGAAATGCTTATTCGGTTGACCTTACTTTACCATCTGAGTCAGTCCATGCTCAGGGTTGAAGAGAGGCCATCATTTGGCTGGCAAAGAGATATTCTAGATAGATACTGCAAATACTTTCAAGTGCTTGCCTAAGAAAAGATGCATTTTGTCTTTTGTTTCCTCCCCATTTCCATTTTTTAAAATATTTTTATTTGGATTTTTTTCATACAGTAAAAGCTGGGGAACAATCAAGTGTATAGGAGAGTAGGAAGTGGTGAGTGGGGGGGGGAGTAAAAGAGAGAGAAAGAGGGGGTGAGGAAGGGGGGGACTCAGGGTGAGAGGGATGAATCTTGCTGGGAGGGTGACCATGAGGCTGACTCTAATACACATATTCTCATGAACTTGGTAATCTTTCTCTTCTTCTATTTTATGCTCTCTCTTCTTCCATGAGGTTCAAATTTCTTTTCCTTTTCTCTGTTTTATTTCATTTAACTCAAACTATTGTTTCCTCCCAATTTCCATCACAAGAAAGGGAATGTGATATTTCTTCTTCTATTACTTTATTCTCTCTCTTTCTCTTTGTGTCACCTATAACACATTCATAGTGATAACTTGTTTGTGTTATATCTATATTTATGTTTCCAAATATCTATATCTAGATATAGATATTTCATAGAATCATATGAAATATTTATATCTTGATATAGATATTTGGCATCATAAAAACAAAACACAAAATAGTTTTGCTACAGTAGATATTCTGACAATGATTGCATCTGGTTCAGATGTCAAAAGGAACCAAATAGGTTTTCTGTTGTCCAAGTATATTCCAATAGCAAGAGCTATTCCAATATGGTTTTTTTTCTAATATGGATAATATAAATGGGTGATATATTACCAGTGGCTGCATGAAATGGGTAACGGTGGCAAAAGTTATGCCCTTGAGGATGTGATTGTATTTAGTACAGATTGTCCTTCGCAGGTACTATTGACTGCTTATTTGTAACATCTGTAACATCTAGACCATAATCTCCTGATTATGATGATAGCATAGGCTAGAAAAGCAAGTAAAAATAAATTACACTCAGATTTCATGAAATATTATACTGATTTTTTTTAAATAATGGTCATTCCTTTAATTCGAAAACTGCCATTCTAAAGAAAAGAAGACCTCTGCTTTCCACTATATTCAGAACATTTTTGATGTCTTCATATCTATTATTCTTCTGGTGTGCTTGTTGTTTTTTTCTTGAAAGGAAATTGCAAACAATGTGTAGTGCTATGCAGATGTATTGCCTGCTAATGAAAGGGCTAAAGGATGTGTGTGAGTGTAAGTGGGTGGGTGTGTACAAAGTCCAGCCATAGTGTCTCCATAGGAGTCTCAGGTGGTACAATGGGTTAAACCCTTGTGTCAGCAGGACTGCTGACCGAAAGGTCGGTGGTTTGAATCCAGGGAGCAGATTACACTCCTATCTGTCAGCTCCAACTTCCCATGTGGGGATAGGAGAGAAGCCTCCCACAGGATGGTAAAACATCTGGGTGTCCCCTGGGCAACATCCTTGCAGACGGCCAATTCCCTCAAACCAGAAGCAACTTGTGGTTTCTCAAGTTGCTCCTGACACAAGAAAAAGTGTTCCCATTTGTGATCACTGTATTCCAAAACTTCTTGGGTTGAGACAGGAAATCCAAAACAATGCCACTTTTGTGAACTTACATAAAATCCATCAAGTGATTAAGATTCAGGTTTGACGAGGATTCCCAAACACACAAAGCCTTCCCGTTATGTTCAAGCAAAATTGAATACATTCACACTTCAAACTTTTTCCATCAATGCAGGAAGATCAGAAACATGACAGGCAAGAGTTGCATATGTCCACACTTGTGTTTCTTTTTTGAGTATGTTAAAGGCTTATGGTCTAACTGCATTGTGACAAACTAATTCACAGAATAATGCACATTAATGGCTCTGTTTTGAAATGAGCATCTAGCTGTGTACTCTTTATGTGGCTTGTAAAACAAATGCAGATTTCTAAGTTGAAAAAGGGGGGGGGGAGCCTACAGCCATGTGCCATGAGTGCCTGGAGCAGAACTTCCCAAACAGTGCTTTTGGACTTCAACTTCCAGAAGTCCCAGCAACTTGCAAATAATCAGGAACTCTGGGAGCTGGAGTCTGAAACATCTGGAGAACCAAAGATTTTGTGAAACACTGCATTCCAAAAATCCCCCTCATTTATATTTTTGTGCATTTTAAATGTCTTAAGTGACTGTAGATGACATCAATTGCCATTAGGGCATAAAAGCTTTCTGACAATGGCGTTTTGTTTGTTTTGTTTTTTTTAAGAACTGAGGCAGCTTTGTCTAAATTGATGTACTTGTTGCACACATAAGCACAGGCTGATAACCCTGAACATTTCTAAGAAAATCAACTTATTTTAATAATAATAATAATAATAATAATAATAATTATTATTATTATTATTATTTTATTTTTGTAGCCTGCCTCCATCTCCCCGAAGGGGTGGCTTACATGAGGACAAGGCAGAGATTCAACATATTTAAAATATAACAACAAAATTCATAAAAACATTTCAAACAATATAAAATAACTACAGAATACAATACATAGCGACTAGCAACCTTCAGTTGTCTGAATAGTGCAGCGACTGGTGCAAATCATTTGCCAAAGGATAGTGTTGATGGATAAAGTACGAAAGGAAAGGGCAGGATTAGGACCTGGGGGTAGTATAAGGAGAGCACTATGTTTCTAACAGGGGCAATGGTAATGTGTGAGATCTGATTAGGGTCAAATTGGGAGCCAGAACTATTTGGGGGGACTATCTAGTCTATCTTTACAGAATTATTATTTATCAGAATTCATATCCTACCTGATAATGAGTCCTAGAAATTGGGTCTTGTTATTTGTGATTAAGGGTTAATTTCCACTGTAGAAATAACACAGTTTGATGTGACTTTAATTGCTGTGACTCAATACTATGGGATCATGGGGAGTGGTAGTGTTGCAAGATCTTTAGTCTTCCTAGGGCCTCACCAAAGTACAAATCCCAGAATTACATAGCATTGAGCCAGGGCAATGGTGTCAAACTGCATTAATTGTATAATGTATATGATACCACATATAATTTCCCGTTGCTTATTTTCTGATCAAGATTTTGAGAGCAGTAAATGGGGACTTGCAGCAATATCCAGTGGTAGAAAAGGACTGCAAAATAACACTAGATCTCTAGACACGATCCCATCCAGGGAACTGTTGCAAAATAATAATAAGAGGAATAATA